TTTTTTTTGTTTTTTTCTTTGTTTGTTTTTTTTGTTTTTTTTTGTTTTTTGTTTTTTTTGATTTTTGTTTATGATCAATCTCTGTTTAGACAATGGCTAGTAAAATGAAGCTGTCACAATTACTCATATTCATATCTGCGCAGAGTGCACTAATTCACCTAACATCAGTCCCCCCCCCCCCAAAGACCCATTTATCTACTTATGAAAGTCACTCCAACGGCTACGAGGTTGAGAGTTAAGTAGATTAGTTATAGGTTTCAGCTTTGCAGCTATCACAACTACATAATACACATTTCGTTCCAAATGTGAAGCGCGTTGTTTTCTCGCATGACATTATAGTAAAATAAACCCAATGCCAGTTTCAATGCCAGTTTACTGAAAAGTCAAGAGATATGGGTGAACATGGCAATATTTTTAATACGATGTTGTTTTTGGAAGGCTCGTGTACATTTACAGGGATCACTTGATTTGTGGATGCAGATTGACCGGTGTTTGTTTTGACGGATTTGAGGTTTGGTAGTCCCGCGTTCAAATCCTTACACCAGTTATGACCACTAGAGTTAAAACACGCCGTGGCGTGTTCACCTCCATGTCGCCACGTTAATAATGTTAACAGCTAACTGTTATCAGCCTCCCAATAGCTGGAAGTCTTCACAGTTTTAATTTTCTTTTGCAGTATTGTTTTGCAGTATTTGATGTTAGCATGGACAACAGTTCTAAGTACATCGAGTCTCTGGCAACGTTGACCTTCGGCATTCATTTTAAACAGTCGGAAGTGGTGCCGGAGAGTTCCGAATAACAATCCCCCAATCAAGAGAAAGTCCTAAGCCTAATATTACCAAGGTTACTACAGACACCTGGCGAAGGAAAAAACTCCACCTTCACACGTCACCAGGCCTTAATGAAACCCCGGTCATGTACATAAACAGGGAACCCAAGCCATTAAAATTATCCAACCACTTGTACGTCAACCTTGTCCCAAATTTGAGCTTGACATAACCTCGTCCAAAACTTGCGCTGCCTTTGCGAAAAGGTTTTTCGAGTTTTAACAAGTTTCTCTCTTTACTCTTTTTTTCTTTATGTTCAACAGCCTGCCACAATCAGTCCGCCGTAACAAAGCTGTATGCAAGTAACTAAGGCCTGCATTGGTAGTGGTAGGGTGATAGATCTTCGTAAGTTCGCCAGCAAGGGGGTAGTAACACATTGTCTGCCTCCTCCCTTAAGTGATGGCCACAGCCCACACACTTAATGGAGAAAAGAGCTTGAAAACTGTTCAACCACCTCTGAAAGACAAAGCAACAACGCCAATGTTTTCGTTGTTTTCACTACAAATGAGGGAAAATTTCGTGAAAACATATATATATATTGGGACTATCGCCAATATAAGTATTTTAACGCACGCGTAAAGCGGATTTAAATTGTGAATATCAGAGATGTAGAGGCTAGCTTAAGTCTGACGACTTAAATTTGTAACAAGAGTCACTCCCACAACCAATGATCACCAAACACTATTCAACTTACCAAGAAGCCTCGCACTTGAGCTGTGGGATCGGTAGCAGAGTAGTAATGTAATACTACAGACGTGGCATAATCTGTTATCTGAGGGATAACAATTGCAAGACAAGCGTTACCTTTATAGCCCATCCTTAATTTGTCACACAACGCTTCCTTCGGGGCATAGCGTGACAACCTTCAAACGTTCATGTATGTACAGCCATGTGATTATCGGGTTCTTGATAGAAGCAGATTCTTTCTTGGCTCGCAATCCTTTAGAAAACAACACCGCGAACCGGCAGCCAGTGCAGAAAAAGCCGTCCACCGCTACACACGTTGTCAATTCATTTAGTAAGCACAATCATACCACCTTGACCATACCTACAGTAGAGTTCTACAGTAACCATGAAAAATCAAGCCCAATAAAGGTGGTACAATGTATGATAAAGAAAAACTTATTGACTGATTTAGGTTGGGTTGGACGGGAAGATATTCGGTTCTAAGTCAAGGAAGTTTTTGTGCTCAGTCCATAAGCTATGACCGAGCCACCAAAATCAACATAACACTTGTGACGGGGTTGAAATCTGCTACAAAGCTTCCAGTTCTCCAAAACGTTGTAAGCAACTACCTTTCTAAATACAGCGTGGCGTGACGGAGACTGTGATTCCTACAAAAGGAAAAAAAAACCAACGTCACACTAAGGACAACAACAACAAAACGTAAAAGAACAGTCAAGCGAGGCCGAGCGCGAAGAACGCGCACGAATTTGGGACCGAGAAAGGAAAGGCGTGGGTACTAGGCTAATGGCAAGGCAGATTGTTGAATCGTAACAAACACTTCATACGTCGTCAGGCTGGTTTGCCAGCAACTGTTGCAGGATAACAAATAAGAAGTTCTTCCGCTGCAAGAACACACAAACCGGCGCCAGAAGTGATAATGCGGTGTTTTGCGGTTTACCTGCAAGAATTTTTGGGAACGCAAGAAGTTAAATATCTAAGCGCAAGAAACCGCAAGTTACAATTCTAACCGCAAGCCGCAACAAACGCAAGAAGTTGTTGAGTCCAGCCGCATGACGTTTTCTTTATCTGATCTCACAATGTATAGCTTTAAAGGCGTGCGCCGACAACAAGCGTTTACAGCCGAGAACCATGGCAATAAAAACGTCAATTTGGGCAACTACTAAGTGTCACAAAATGTAGCAGTACCAACTGTGAAATGTACATGCATGCCAGCAGTTACTAAATGCTCTCCTATTAGAATCTTATGATTTTACCTGGTGTATTTCTCTCTCCTTTTTTCAAAATACACATTCAATTGCAAGTTTAGAGACAGCAGTGACTCAATGAAAAAGCAACATAACGATATACATGTATGTATGTATGGTGGTATTTGCATAACATTCAAAACACGTTTGCAAAGATGTGTCTTCAGTATAAAATCTTTGGGTCAAGCTTTTCCCTACACAATGCAACAATGTCTCTTTCTTGTGAATTGTGTAAATTACAACCTTAAGACAACTGTTAATCATTGATGTTACGTGGAACAATCAGGCCCTCTTAACTGAGCAACACGAGCATATTCACCTCTTTTTCCAGAAGAGAGCTCTCCTGTATTCCTCTGATGATCACCTGGTCGATTTCTGTCATGCGCAGTACTATTGTAGCTTTGAGTGTCTTTGGTACAAGCACCTGTTTGGGATTACCTACTCTGTTAGTAGAAGTATTTTTACCAGATTTCAACCACTTTAGTAAGCTTTTGTAAAAGATCAAACCAAATAAAAACAAGTACAGCCCTGAAGGTCCAGTTGAGGTTTAGATATACATGTACATTAAATTGTTGCAAAATGACCATATTCATATCACGAGTATTCCCTAATTTTGTTTGTTACTTTTAATGTTAATGTTAGCAGAAAAATCGATCTCAATATACCCTGATTTTAAGCATCCTTGCTCTATTTTGATTTTGTATCAAGAGTATTTCAGTGATCTTCGTAAGGTAAGTGGTTCATAGTGCCAGAGCTTATCCTGGTTTCTGCAGCATGAAGTGACTAGGAGTATTTCTACTTAATTCCCCCTGGATGGGATGCTAGTCCATTGCAAGGTTACCACCCAACATGAAATTTGCTGGTACCCATTTATACACCTGGGTAGAGACAGTCACTGTGAGAGTGTAGTGTCTTGCCCAAGAGCACAACACAAGGACCCTGGCCAGAACTCAAACCCGAACTGCTTGATCCAGAGTACTGTACGCTAATGTTTAGGCCACTACATTTCCCACAATTTGTTGGTTTTGTTTTTTTTTTAATCTCTGCTTGAAAGGAAAAAACTACACATTACAAGAAGGGTTCCTGACAAACATGTAGCTTATAATAATCATGACCTGAAATGCAAAAAAATCTAACCTTCAGAACATGGGCACCACATGCACTAGCTATTGACAACTCTAAGCGAGGATACAAAGCCTTGCAGTCCTGCAAGGCCTTCTGTATTTCCCTAAAAAAAGCAATCAGCAGCCATGTTACTTTCTGCCATCAGCTGGCAATTTTGCTATGCACAGGAAATGATTTGCCACCAACTTCACACAAGAGTCCACCTATCCTGATTAATAACAAATCCATCTCTACCCAAGCTTTACTGCCTATTGCTTCCTTAATCCTACCTACTACAATACATTTTGACTGGGCTCATTAAACAAGGCCACCGTAAGACTAGAGTGACAGTAGTATGCTCATTACACTGCACATGACTTTCATGTTCATGCACTATTTCTTTCAAACAATAAAAAATGACAAAGAGTGTTAGACCCTAGAATCACAAGTGGAGTGAACATCATGACCTGTATGATAACCTTCTCCCAATATTTACCCTTTCAAATTTGTCTTTGCCCTCTTTGCTGATGAGGGTGAGCGATCCAAGCTTTGTGCAGCTGGGGGATGATGTCTTTTTAAACACGATAAAGCGTGTTGAGCCTCTGAAGTCAGCTGCCAGTTTGATCACAAGAAAAAAATCTTTTCGTAAACCAACATAAAATCACAAACATTGATACATGTAGAATGTACATTGACCATAAACTCTGTTACATGACAATGTAGGTTTTCACACAAGGTAGTCTGTCTACAATCATTTCTCTTTTTTGCTCTGTTTTAGTTTGTAATACTTCTTATAATATATACTACTTCTGATCACTTTATTCTGTTCTGTGTACTTTTCAATTGTCTTTCATATCATATTGAACTTCAAAATAGTAAATGTTATGAAGCATTACTGTGTATTTCAAGATTTTAGTAGTCGCTTAATAATATGTTACTTGATACAATATCGAAAAACAAAACGAATGCATGTACACGTACTTTCCAAAGCTTAATAATGCCATGAAAAAGTCCTCTTAACAACACCCTCGTGTTTGCATTAATGATGCACAGAAGCACGTAAACTCTATTCAGTTATTACCTTTTCATGCCAGTCGTAAGTCTCTAGAAGTTTGTCATAGAGAGGGGTTTTGTCTTCAACTGGATCCAAGCTTAAGAGTCCTGTATTTCCCAAGGAAGGAGATCGACCATCCAATGAAGAGAGTCCCTCATTTGCTTTATCTAGCTCGCTGTTTTAAGAGCATGAAAGAAACAAAAAATTCCATTCAGACTTTCACAATTCTAAAATAGATAGCTTAAGCTTTATTTAGCCAGTCTGCTTTGTCCATTGTTGGCTGCAAGAGGCTTGGGTTCCACACTAAAAACAAGGCCTGTTCTAAAGATCACCAACAACACTGGTCCTAATACACAAAATTATAAAACTTTAGCTAAAGTTCCAAAACTACATGTAAGCCTAATGGTGTTTTTTATTATTATTATTATTATTATTATTATTATTATTATTATTATTATTATTATTATTATTATTATTATTATTATTAT